TTTGATCAATCGCATGCCTAGCAGGACCCTTCAAAATATGCCACCACTCACACGCCTCCTTAACATCACTCCCGATTACTCTTTTCTTCGTGTCTTCGGTTGTGCATGTTGGCCTAGTCTTCGCAAATATAACTCTCGGAAACTTGAGTTTCGCTCAAAGATGTGTGTTTTTCTCGGATATAGTCCGTTTCATAAAGGGTACAAGTGTCTTGACAAGTCCACTGGTCGCATATATATCTCTCCAGATGTTGTCTTTGATGAAAAAGTTTTTCCTTTTGCGACTAGTGTGTGTCCCGATTTGTCTCTCTTAAATCCTCCCGTGACTTTTCCTTCTCATGAGCCAGTAGTTCAGGATGCTAATGTGAGAAACTACAATCTGTGTTTTTTGTTTCCTGAGTCATATCCTACAGGTACAGAGACGCAGCTGCCATGCACTGGCGTGACGGACGTACATGCTACACCCCCATGCACCCAGCCCGCCTGCGGCACGCGGCTGCATCCTGCTGACCCAGCGCGCGCTCCGGCGCCCTCCGATGCGCCCTCTGGCATCGCCCCGTCGGGTGGGCCTGGTGCGGTCCAGTCGCCCGAGCCGTCGCTCGCGCGTGCCACAGCCCAGCATGGAGCCTCTTCGTCCGATGCAGCTGCACACGACGGGGCTGGGCGAGCTGCATCTGGCGCGCCAGCGCCCGACGCGGCTGCCTCCGACGGGGCTGGGCGAGCAGCGCCCGACGCGCCTATGCCTGGTGCGGTCGACTGCGTACATGTGCGTGCAGATGCAACCGCCGGAGCATCCTCGGCAGACTCCCCGTCGTCGGCTTCCTCGCCGGCGCCCCCTCCCGAGCGTGCTCGCACATGCCTACAGAACAATATTCGGCGCCCAAAGGTTCCATCTGATGGCACTGTCCGATATAATCCGTATCGTCGCGGTTTCAGTGCCGTCGTCTCCGTTCCAACTACGCATCGGCAGGCTCTTATTGATCCTGCTTGGACAGGTGCTATGCAAGAGGAGTTCTCTGCCCTTCAGCGCACTCAGACATGGTCACTTGTGCCTCGTCCTCCGGGCACTAACATCGTCAGCTGTAAGTGGATTTTTAAGCTCAAGGAACGATCTGATGGTTCTCTTGACAAGTACAAAGCTCGCCTAGTTGCTCGTGGGTTTACTCAGCAGTATGGTGTTGATTATGTTGCCACTTTCAGTCCGGTTGTTAAACCGGCCACTGTTCGCCTTGTGCTGTCACTTGCAGTTTCACAGGGTTGGTGTTTGCGCCAGATTGATGTCAACAATGCGTTTCTTCATGGTTTGCTTAATGAGAATGTGTACATGCAGCAGCCTCCAGGTTTTGAGGATCCTCGATTTCCTCACCATGTTTGCAAGCTTCGGAAGTCTATTTACGGACTCAAACAGTCTCCGCGGGCTTGGTACTCCCGCCTTAGTGACCGGCTGCAACAACTTGGGTTTCATTCATCCAAGGCCGACACCTCTCTCTTCATTTTCCGGCGAGGCAATGTAGTTATTTACATGTTGGTCTATGTTGATGATATTGTCATTGCTGGCTCCTGCTCCCATACAGTGGATCGTTTGCTTCGCACTCTAGGTGGGTCCTTTACCATCAAGGACCTTGGTCGCCTTTCTTACTTCCTTGGGATTGAAGCCACCTACAATTCAGGGGGAATGGTGTTGTCTCAACGCAAGTATGCTGATGATCTTCTTCATCGTGCTCATATGGAGAATTGCAAGGCAGTTTCTACTCCCATGTCAGTAACTGATAAGTTGGCAGCAGATCTTGGTACTCCTCTCAGTCATGATGATGCTTTTAGCTATCGCAGCATGGTTGGAGGATTGCAGTATCTTACCCTCACTCGTCATGATATTTCATTTGCTGTCAACAAGGTGTGCCAATATCTAGCCAAACCCACTGATGTGCATTGGGAGGCGGTGAAGCGCATACTGAGGTATATCAAGGGTACTGTGACTACTGGACTCTCTATTCGCCGGTCAAGCTCCACACTTTTGAGTGTGTTCACTGACACTGACTGGGCAGGATGTGTCGATGACAGACGCTCTATTGGTGGTTTTGTGGTCTTTCTTGGTCCTAACCTGATATCATGGAGTGCTCGTAAGCAACCCACAGTTTCACGATCCAGTACTGAGGCGGAGTACAAGGCACTAGCAAATGGCACAGCTGAAGTTACTTGGGTACAATCTGTGCTTAGGGAACTGGGAGTGTTCCTACCACGACCACCAATTTTGTGGTATGATAATTTCGGTGCCACCTATTTGAGTGCAAATCCAGTATTTCATGCGAGGACAAAGCATATTGAGGTGGATTTTCACTTTGTAAGATAAAAGGTGGCGCAAGGAGCTTTGGATGTTCGCTTTGTGTCTTCCGGTGATCAAGTGGCAGATGCTTTCACTAAACCTGCTACAAAAGCCATGTTGGAGAAATTACGACACAATCTCAACCTTGTGGCCCGTTGAGATTGAGGGGGAATGTTAATGTATATTTCAGCATGTAATCAGTGTAGTTATGACTATAGATTAGGTAGGATTATTTCCTATTACTTGGTCCTTGAGATCTCATGTAATCCTATGTATTCTTGGCAACCAAGATTGCCTCCATACTAATACACAGCAAGTTCGTCGAGTTACATACGGCAAAAACATATTCCATCTTTTTCAACTCTGCAACCCCTGGGCCCCATCAGGGTTGGGGCGGGCCAACGACAGGGTGCGGCATCTGCGTGCCTCCCGGGAGGCAGATGAGGTGTGTCAGGCTGGTGGGTGTTGGCTGGCGGGCGGATCCGTCCGCCCGACGCCATAGCGTCGGCTCACCGGGCGCTTGGGTCCTGTGGTGCTGGATCCTCGCGGTCCCGACCGGAACACCTCTCCTTCCCCATCACCAGTCGAGCAGAGTATGAGTCCGTGCGCCCTCGCCGGAGAGCAGAATCGGGTGGTCCGTGCCATGGCTGGATTACCATCGAAGGACAAGGAGGACATCGATGGCGAGGACAACTCCAGCAGCGAGCAGATCCGGCTCGATCCGTACCGCGTCTTCGACTGGTACTTTCACGAGAAGGACGACAAGGGCGCCGAGAAAGGCAAGGGCAACCGTGGATGAACTCCACGATAGCCAAACATGCCAAATTTTGGTAGTCCGATGGCATGTTTAGTGTAGTGTGATGGAGTAGACGAACGACGTGTGTGCGTCGACGTAGTTGCATGAGTTTGTATGGATTTGAGATATGGTAATTCAGGAGTCCGGATGTGGATTGCATTTTTTGAGGAGTGTCCGGGTTATACCCGCAGACCGTGTGCATTTGAAGGGTCGGATTTGCAAAATCCGATCGTAGATGCTCTAATTGACATAGTCGAATCTCTATTATTTTGGCTAAAACAAAAGCAATATGATTGTGTTGGACCTACTGTGGCCGCGTGAAGGATCCCTCCATGGACTGTACGATTAGATGAAAGATGTTGAGATCACTCCCTCCTGAGTCGTCCTCGCAGGCGACGGGAGGGATTGCTTGAACAAAAGATACATAATTCTGTTGGACCTACTCTGGCGTGGACGAACCGTCCATGAATTGTCCGGCAAGATGAACGATGATGAGATTACCCCATCTCAAGATAGGAACGTGAGATCGAGACCGGCATATATCAACCGTCTGATCAACCCATCCCATCAGTACTTACGTTTCGAGACAAGAGTATAACCTAATAGTTTTAAAGTGAGGGTCGCATGAGGTTTCAATGAGCAGTAATTGAAAAGTGACCAAATTTTTGCTGCCTTGACCATAGTTGGCCAAGCATAATTTTTTGACATATCCCAACCTATGCGTAGGTCCATGATGAAACACCACCTTCATAATTGGCTGCGGGTGGTTGGCGGATCGGGGTTGCGGCGGAGGAGTTGAAGCACCGTGGTACATCACCTATCCAGTCCGTGCATCGGTCGACGGTAACAGTGTCTGTGGGCACCGTGTTCCTCCTTGCAGGCTCCGTTGTGGTGCTCCCACTCCTTCCGTCTTACTCCGAATGAAAACTTGATCTTCGGATCGGACGGTGGCGACGTTCGTCGTGCCCTTCATGGAGGCATCGTCTTGGAGTCCTCGGTCCGGCGTGTCCGTCACACATCTTTCCGGATGATCGCTCCTCGTGCTAGTGGTATCTGTCGGCTCTAAGCAGATCCAATTTTTGCACATGTTATAGGTGCTTGGTAGTCGTTGAGGTTGTGTGTCGGTGCCCGACATTTGTGTATCTTGCCTTGGGTGTATGTGGCGTGCGTTTGTATCGGTTGTTGTTGCTTTATAATATAAAGCGGGGAAACTCTTTTTCGTTCGTTAATTGGCTTCCTCAAATGGCGACGACTATACAAATATCGACAAGGAGGACGTGAACGTTACAGGGGAGGGCGTCGAGATCGCCCCTTCACAAATCTCGAATTTGCTGTTTTTTCACCACGGTATAATTTTGTCACAAATAAATTTTAGTATTCCATCTGTCTCAAAATATATTTACAAAATAGAACATTCCCTCAAAAAATAATTACTTTTTAGTAAAAAATAATCATTATCCCACCACTAATTTAATTAGGTGTAATGTTGTTTGCGCCAAGATTTTTTAACTCCCACTAAAAGGTCCTAAATTAGCGTCTTCGATCCCATAAAAAAATAGCATATATATTTAACCTTTCTGTTAAATACATTCCTAACAACTCACTGTTATTCTAAATCAAACCACGGCGTCTTCAAGGGCGATTGGATCTGAGGTCTCGTCCCTGTTTCCTCTGTGCTGCCGGCGTCATGACGGCGACAACACAGCGAACCACACCGACGGGCGCAGAGGAGAGGTAGGAATCAGCTGCACGGAGTCAGGTTATTCCTCCTCGATCTCGCCCTCCTCCCTCTCCTCTGCCATGAAAAATCTGACTGCAAGCGAATCTGCTTCCCTGAGAGGGGAAGGTATTTAGCGGACACGAGGATCCCCCACGAACTCATGCATGCTCGACCATGTCTTCGGCCATGCCCGCCCGGGCTCAAACCCCCCTCCCCCACGAGCTCCTGGTCAACGCGCCGCTCTCTCGATCCATTCAGAGTGGCTGCCCCTTCTCTCCTCCGCTCGCCGCTTGGCCGTAGAAAAGAAGTCCCGGCAGCGGACATGGCCGCCGCCTCTCTACATTGCCGTCGCCAACCACCATGGGGGCAGCTTCCGCTACACGCGCCCCGTCCTGCAGAGCGCGCTCCAACTCATGGGCTGCAAGCCACGCCACGCTTTCAGGGTCCGTCTTCCACCCTCATCTCACTTATGTAGCCCGGCTTTCTGAGATCAATCTGAATAAAGATTATTTCCCCCCTGAATAATGGTTTCGTCTGCATGATCTTTCTGAGTTCACTTCTATACTAAATTTAGCATGATGGTTTGGTCTGCAGGATCTTTGTCTACTTCAGTTTGTTTGTTCTGGTCATCCTTACCATAATACCATCTGCATATTTATGTGTTTTGCACCATGTATTATAGAGCGTGAATATTATATAGGATCATGCTAAATTGCTAACTGGATGTCTTTGGCAGTCCCCCTTCGGTTATGGCTCGTGAACTTAATTACGGTGTGTGATTTGTTAAGGTGTGCATGATTGATCGACTGCATGTTCTGTTTTTGCACCGTGGATCATGTAGGACGAATGTCATTTAGATACAGGATCAGCCTTACTGAAACTCTTTGATATTCCCGGCTTTTCGGTTTTGACTGATGAACTCACCACGGTTAAATTCCAGCTTATGACAGAAATGTTGGTAGCCGGGCTACGCTTCAGGATCACATGTGATTTGATATTCCTACCATCTCTGTGCTGTCACCCTGCATACAACATCAAGTCTTATATCTGAATCTTTTTTTTTCTGAACAAAACATGGGCGCACTAGCCACCATTCATTTCGAATCACATGTTTACATAACTGCAGTTTACATTGGTGATGACATATCCCATCTGAGCTATATGTATAATAATATGATTCACGGAATGATGCCACTCATCATGAACAACATTGCTGCAGTCTATTTTAACATTTTGATTTGGATGAATTCCCTGTGAGTAGGCTAGCTTGGCTGCTTCATGTGCTTCCCTGTGATGATCTCTACTGACATGAAAAACTTGCGTCGTGTTGAGACGATAGCGGCACAGAAATCTGCAAGAACACCCCTAGCTTGGCTATGTCAACAGTAGTTCCCTGTATAATTTCTCCTTTATCCTGCTTGCATTGATCAGATTTTTTGAATCCTAATTTTCCTTGTTCCTTGACTTGTATTTCCAAAGATAAACTTTTTTTGATGGCTTCAGCTGCAGAAAAGACCTGAATATGTTCAGGAATTAATATGTTACCTGTTCCTTTTCTAGATCCAAGGTATAGTTAGACTGATCATGTGTAAAATGCTCCTGGATACGACGCAAGTTGTATCTACAAAAGTCTGTCAGTTTTACTCTAATAAATATTTTTTAGCAATTAGCGTAGACCGAGATGAGTTTCTTTCAACACATTTTAAGCTATAATGTCATATATTAGATGATATATGTGCGTCAACAGAGCAGAGGATTCAGGTTTAGTCATCCTCTGCATTGCATTTGATTCAGATTACTATAAGATGATTTTTAATAGATATTTGGTCTTACACGAGTCACTTTGGAAATGTTTTTCCTATAGATTCATAGTAGTATTTTTACGAACAACCTATCACTGATACATTGCCTTTCATGTTCATTCACATATGCTTAATACTTCTGAATAACGTACGTCAAGAGAACCAAGGATTCAGGTTTAGTGGATCCTCTGCACGTTATTCAGACCACTATAATATGAGTTTTTAATAGATATTTTATTTTTATTGCTTTCTTATATCGTGTTGTGCCTTATGTAGTTGGAATAATCATCATAGATTTATACTTCTTGCCTACACTAGGGAACCAAGGATTCAGATCTATACTTTCTTTTTAATAGATATTTTGTTTTTATTGCTTTCTTTTTAAATTGACTCAAAAATTTATGTCTGCATTACCTACAAAGGGCACAATGATGAATTTTTACAGAGGATACTCCTCGTACAGAACATCCTTACTTCCTAATCACCTATCTGAATGGTGCACAACATCAATGCTTTGTTATTGCTAAGTCCCATGATTGTTTTTGTGTGAAGTAAAGAAAGGCTATGTTCTGTTAACAAGGATGGAAAGTATAACAGCATACAAAAACCACCATGGACAACCCAGATCTAGTAAATTGTTTAGCATTTTCTATATGCATAAAATCTTGGTGTGGGTTAAATTGCTAAACCTTCAAGACTACTAAATCTTATGAAGGAACACCAGAACAATCTGACATTCCAGTGACTGCTAATGACATGTGTTTCCTTGTTGAATGGCCATCCCATGCTCGCCACAACCGTGCGCTACTACAGGATGGTACTTGCTTCTGTTTATATTTGTGTCATCATTTCTTACAATCTAATACCGAGTAATACAATATTTCTTGTATGATTTGGGCTGTAGAATCTGGTGGACGGAAGAAGAAAGGGCGAGGTGTTCTAAAAGGTTTTAAAGCACCTAAGAAGCGTTTTTCCAATGGATCTGCAAAGCTAAATATTACATTCTTTGAAAAATTGGGTGGTACAGTAGGAATGAATGTTCATTCAAGGATGACGTGGTAGTCATAATGAAAAGAAAGTTACCACTCATTGGAGTGAGGACGCGGTCGTACATTCACCCTACCATCCACCGACTCATTGTTGCAGATATGATAGTGCGTACAACCTTTTCCACATGTGTTATCTTATTTTACCATCGATAATGCACTGCTTATGTATATTCATTTGTTTTTTGCTTTAAATGACAGATGGGACCTAGAAGATACTCCAGAAACAGAAGAAAAAGTTCTCAAAATTGTGAAAGAGCGATATAGAGGCTGGCGATCAACTCTAAGCTCCACTTACAAGGCATACAAAACAGATGCTGCTAGATTTGTTAATCTGCCAGAAGACTTACAACCCACTTTCAGTTAATTAGGATCCGAAGAACTAGCTCGACTGCACTCTAGATTACGGACAATTTAGTCTTCGCAATTAATTAGGATGGCTAAATTACATTTGAGTTTCATTTGATGGATATTTGCTATGATAATTATGAATTTTATGGATCTACATATTATATACGTACGGTTTTGAATATTGTAATTCAATGCCTGTATTTTTTTTACGGTTGCAATAGGCTATTACGACAACCCACTTTCGGTTGAAATAGTGTATCGCCACAGAAAGTTTAAATTGTCGCAATAGTTTCTTGCTACAAAGATTTTACATGTTGTGATACCTATTTATCACCACCAAAACAAATATGTTGCAATTTCCTGTTACGACGACCGGAATATTTGTTGCCATAAGTTAATGCCACAAGTGCAATGGGTCGTGGCAACATGCCTAATGCCACGAAAACAAGGATTGTTGCCATAGTTTATTGCCACAAGCGTAGTGGATCGTGGCAACATGCCTAATGCCACGAAAACAAGGATTGTCGCCATAGTTTATTGCCACAAGCGTAGTGGGTTGTGGCAACATGCCTAATGCCACGAAAATAAGGATTGTTGCCATAGTTTATTGCAACAATTGACTATTGCCACAGAAGAGAAATGCGCCACAAAATGGGCGTCGTTGGCATAGGTTGTTCCCACAAATGTATATCGCCACAAGATACCAGTCACCACGGTTCGTTACATGTTGCATTAAAGCTATGTCCACAAATAAAATTGTGGCGTCAGGTGAGTGTTGCCACGGAAAAACATGTGGCAACTTCCCGCATGGATGTTGCAATAGCATATTTTATTGCCACGATTGCTTTTTTGTGGTAATAACCTATTACCATGCGTCCAGTCGCAACGGCGGCCAACGAATGTCGTTTCGTGGCAATAGGTACTTATCGCCACGAAACAACATGTATTGCAACAAACTATTTTGTTGCAATAGACCCGGATCCTTGTAGTGTGTGCGGCTAGGGAGCCCCTAGCTTATTTTATGCCGGACTCGTCTAGCCGTGTCCGGGGTCTTGAACGACCTTTTAATGAGATGATGCCGCGTGGACCGGGCATTTTAAGTGTAAGAGACGCGTAGTGTGGTATTGCATTAAAGCGGACAAAAGCTTCACGTCCCAATAGCGCTTGATGGCTACTTTTGAATGGGGCGACATGAAAGATTAGCTTTTCGCGTCGGAAGTTGTCGGGTGACCCGAACACAACTTCTAGTAGTAAGGAGCCCGTGCACTTGGCGTAGGGGCCTGGCGTCACTCCTTTGAAGGAAGTGCGGCTATGTCGGATTTTAGTAAGGTCTATCCCCAACTTGCGGATTGTGTTCGGATATAGCAGGTTTAAATCGCTGCCGCCGTCCATCAGGACTTGTGTAAATTGTAGTCCGTCGATTATAGGATCCAATATCAGAGCAGTCCATCCTGCGTTTCGAATGCTTCTGGAATAGTCCAGGTGGTCGAAAGTAATTGGTTTTGACATCCAATCTCGGGGTTCCGCTGGGGTGAACCGTGCGACACCTACTTTGGCGGGTGTCGCATTGTTGTTTCGTGTTATCACATGAAGTGAGTTTACTGTTTTGACTTCTTGGGGGAAAGTCTTCTGTTTTCCGGCGCTCTGCTGGTGGGGTTCGTCATCATCCTCGCTTGGCGCGTCGAGCCCCTTGTGTTCGACGTTGAGTCGGCCGAACTGTTTGAAGACCCAACAATCTCGGTGGGTGTGGTTTGCAGGCCTTCCGGAGGTGCTGTGGATTTGACATATCCGATCCAAAATTTTGTTTAAGTTGGATAGCTCTTCACTGTTGTCCTTAAGAGGCAGTGCTTTGTTGTTCGGCCGCAAGCTTTTGAATCCGGCATTGACCGCCGTATTCTTTGGGCTTTTTTCTTTATTTCGGCGTTGGTCCTTTCTGCGCCGTGATTTTTCGTTTCCATCTTTGATCTCGGATGTAATCGGGTCGCTGGTGCTGCATCTTGCTAGCCAGCTGTCCTCCCCTGCGCAAAAGCGGGTCATGAGGCTTGTTAGCGCGACCATAGTTCTCGGCTTCTCTTGGCCGAGGTGTCTGGCGAGCCATTCGTCTCGGACATTATGTTTAAAAGCTGCTAAGGCTTCGGCGTCCGGACTGTCGACTATTTGGTTCTTTTTGGTAAGAAACCTGTTCCAGAATTTGCGCGCCGACTCTCTGGGCTGTTGAGTTATGTGACTTAAATCGTCTGCATCCGGAGGGCGGACATAGGTCCCTTGAAAATTTGCTCTAAACGCATC